CTGTTAATGTCCTGTAGTGTCTTCAGGACCACTCTGTTAATGTCCTGTAGTGTCTTCAGGACCACTCTGTTAATGTCCTGGAGTGGCTTCAGGACCCCTCTGTGAATGTCCTGTAGTGTCTTCAGGACCACTCTGTTAATGTCCTGGAGTGGCTTCAGGACCCCTCTGTGAATGTCCTGTATTGGTAAATATGCGTTTAATATACTGGGATCTCATTTTAAACCCACATCCAAACGGAGACAACAGGAGGGGTTCTCCCCCCCCACCCCCACCCCCCGGAGGGGGAGGCGTGTCTCATGAACCCAGAGTTATAAGACCCGCCTCACATTCAGGAAATCCAATTCATAGTTTGCATCAGCCACAACGTGAGTAAATATGTGAGAACTGAGAGCAGCTAACAACTAACCAACTTTTCATGGTAACATGTCCGCTGTGTTGAAGTATTTTACACTAAACACCACAAGACAGCAACGTGCAATATCTGTAGAGCTGCTGTACTGAGAGGGGGAAGCTCGGTCGCAACCTACAATACATCGAACTTAAACATTTGAAAAAGCTCCACATTAAAGAGCACGAGGATGGTTTAGCCAGGCACCACAGTAAAGTGGGTTTTACGTTGGACATTCAAGCGCCGTGGCTTCAGCGGCGTGTTCTCCTCGTTCAGTCCGAAGCGGACAGTCTGATTTCAGTCAGCCACGCTCAGTCTGCCCATCTAGAGGAGCTGACTGAAATCAGTCTGCTTCACAGCTGGACTGAATATTTGAAGTCAAGATCTAGTTTACATTTACCCTCCTGGAGATATTTATCAGTACAACAGTAGACAATCATAAAAAACATATGAATTGAAAAACAAAAGAAAATTATCTAAAAAAGTTAAATCTGGTCCTCTGGACATTCAAAAAAACAAAACAAAGCAAAACAACAAAAAAATGTAGAAACGTTTCGTCTCTCATCCGAGAGACTTCCTCAGTCTGAGGAGCTGTATTCAGCTCAGTCTCTTAAATAGCACCTTCTCAGAGTGGATCAACCAATTTGCTGCTGACAACCAAAACCAGCTGATCACATGCTCAAGAAGGACCATCAGCCTAACAATGGATCATTAGCACACTGATGGCTGTTTACTACTCACAGAGGGCTGAGTGATACTAGCAATCACAGCATTGTAAGAGGGGGACAGTTGAACCTGGAGGCTCCACCCCTGTTTAATGATGGACGGTTTCTTTTCACAAAGATGGCCTCCTTTACTCCTCTCTCAAACCATCCTTCAGAAGGCACAAACCCAGCTGCTGAATGAACGGGTGAGACAGACCAATTTTACTATTGAGGCCTTGAAGGCCAAGGAAGAGCGCATTAAACAAAAACTAACAACATGCCTAGATCAGACCACACTTCAGCAAGTGTTGGACTGTACAGATCAGGCACGCTTAGCACAGCATGTCAAGTCCAAGACTCGACAACATCCATCCATCCATCCATTATCTTTACCCGCTTATTCCATTTTGGGTCACGGGGGTCGCTGGTGCCCATGTCCAGCAATCACTGTGCGAGGGGCGGGGTACACCCTGGACGGGTCGCAAGTCCATCACAGGACTCGACAACAAAATAAGTTTAACGTACTAATAGCTCATCAACACCATCACTATTCCAATAACAACACATTCAGTGTAGGACAACACTCCAGTAGTCAATTATACAACAGGGAGACAGAAAAGTGGGTGAAGAATTTATCTGACAGACAGCTCACCCAGCCGGAGACAGAGATTCTTGCCAGGGGACTGAACTTTGCGGTTGCACCAAGTAGAATTCCTCTGGTGGAGATGATCACAGCTACTGAGTCAGCCATCCGCAACAACAAAATGAAAGAGGGTGAAGCAGAACAACTCAGAATCAAAGTTTCATCCTGCCTCAGCAATGCCAAACCACCACCTTCCAACATCAGTAGAGAGGAGAGGGATGCACTCACCACTCTTAGCAAGGACAAAAACATCATCATTCTCCCAGCAGACAAAGGAAGGTGCACAGTGATTTTGAACCAGAAAGACTATCATGAGAAAGTTATGACACTCCTTAGTGACTTAACCACTTATGAACCTCTGAAAAGAGATCCAGGAAGTGGTTACAAGAAGAAATTGATAGATTGCCTGAAAATTTTGGAGCAGGACAAGGCTATTGACCATTTTCTGTACCACAGACTGTACCCAGGGGAGGCCACACCTAGTCTGTATGGTTTACCTAAAATCCACAAACAAGGTGTACCTTTAAGACCAATTGTTAGCATGATTAACTCTGTCACTTACAATGTTTCCAAATATCTGGCGTTTGTACTCATCCCTTTAGTTGGCAGCTCAGAACACCACATACAGAACACCATGGACTTTGTGGATAAGGTCAGGGATGTCATCATGGAGACTGATGAAACAATGGTCTCTTTTGATGTCACATCACTCTTTACGTGCATTCCTGTTGATGATGCAGTAGAGGTGGTCAGTTTAAAATTAAAATCAGACACCACTCTGAGCAACAGGACCACGCTTTCCACAGAACAACTGTGTCAACTCTTGAAACTGTGCCTGCAGTCAACCTACTTCACATATGGGGAGCAATATTATAGGCAGAAACATGGGTGTGCTATGGGGTCTCCAGTTTCTCCTATTGTTGCCAACCTGTACATGGAGGAGGTAGAAAAGAGAGCCTTGACGTCCTTTTCAGGGACACCACCAAGTCATTGGTTCAGGTATGTTGACGACACCTGGGTTAAAATCAAATCTCAGGAAGTCCAACATTTTACTGACCACATCAACTCTGTGGATAAATACATCAAGTTCACACGAGAAGATGTAAAAAATGGCAGGTTGGCTTTCTTGGACTGTGAGGTCTCAGTCTCTGATAGAGGACATTTGCAAACCGAGGTGTACTGCAAACCCACCCACACAGACCAGTATTTGCAGTTTGACTCCCATCACCCTTTGGAGCACAAGTTAGGAGTCATCAGGACTCTGTACCACAGAGCAGACAGCGTCCCCACTAGCTCAGGAGCCAGGCAGAAGGAGAAATCCTACACAAAACAGGCTCTAGAGCAATGTGGATATCCTAACTGGGCCTTCCTGAAAGCAGAGAAGAAACCCAAACCGGACTCCAGTCAGCCAACAGGTGAAAAGGAGGAACCCAGACCCAGACCAGTGGTCATTCCATATGTTGAGGGAGTATCAGAGAAACTGAGACGTTTATTTTCTAAACATAACGTCCCAGTGGCTTTTAAACCCCAAAATACATTA